ATCAAGCCTCTTTCTATCCTTTGTGTCACCATTATATTTGATCACTAGCTTGTGATTACAAAAAATGTCCACTGATTCTTTAAGATAGTTTAAAAAATACCTTCTAGTAGAAAATTGGACAAGAGTGCTAGTGTATCTAATCAGGTCAAAGCTTGGAGAGTTGCCTTCTTAGTTACTTAGGCTAACTCGAGAAATAGTTACCCTCCTACTTTAAAGAAAATTGGAGTGATACAAACTACAGTATTAGTCTGTTGTACAAACCACCAATATTAAAAAAAACCCTCACATGCATACAGTAACTAGAAAAGTTAATAAAATCATGGCTGTTACATTTTTAAAGAAGTAAAGTAACACTTAATTGCAATTTTTTTCTTGTACAACAGTATTATGAGTTCTATTTGTATTTGTAAAAAGCAGTATCCATATATACAATTTAAATGTAGCAGAATGTTAACGCTTATAGTGTTCATATTCAGGAAAATGAACTCCAAAGCCATAGATAGATACATTAAGAGACATGTAGTGTAAGTAATAAGACAATTTATGTACCATGGCTTAAGCAGAACATAACATTACTTCAAATCTTGTAAAGGTGATGGTGAGTGATTTGTATTCCATTGGATTATACAACTAAATCTGTNCCCAATATACCTGTTGTGGTTTAAATCCTAGTTTTTATTCGGAGGCACCTCATATCATGATGAAACTTTCTCTCCCATCGATTCCAGCCTCACACACAGTCTTTTCCATTGCCCCAACAAGGGTTTCCAAGGTTTCCCAGCCCTGTTCTGGATCTGCTTTTGCACATGCAGTAAGGGATGCAGAGACGAGGAAATCAACCCCTCTCTTTTCCATGGGTGGAAGCAATTCTATCAAAGAACTGGCCAGTGGATCCTGGCCTATGAAGCTGTAAACCTGCTTGCATCATGCAAAAAATGATTAACAGCCATATATGTGATGGCTCAAATTGTTCATACTCATTCTATAATAAATATATCTTCCTCCTGCTCTCCTTGGATAAAAGCAATTCGACGTTCTTGTTTGTTTTAACGGTGGTATTGGTGGAACTATTCTATCACTTCGGTGAATTCAAAACACATTCTTAAAGGTGCTGAGAATTTAATATGTTCATATTAAACCTAAGATGTCACTGTTTGCATAGTTTTGTGGGCTTATATGCATACCCCTTTAATTGCTCCTTTCCTTTTTTTAGAAGAAGTACATTCTTGCAAAAGGCTCTGTGCCAATAAAGTTTTCTTTTCTTTTTTCTTTGCTTACCCAGATTACTGGTTTCTACCATTTAGGAAATGTTGGTGTCAAAATAAACCGTAATACAGGCTCGCCTAATATAAACAGTGTCAAACTGCAAAGGAAGGCTGATGGATATTGCTAAATACTTACACAAGTGGTCTCAAGTGTATTTTACATAAGCAATTATTACTTTCTTTCTCATTGTTCATTATCATTGTCACCATAGATTAAGTGATATAATGATATATATAATTATACAATTTTCAATGCAACCCTTGAAATTATATTTGTAGGGCAGCTTTCTTAAACATACTAGTAATTAAGTCTGGTATGTTTAAGAGTACTGAACCTGCGCACCCCAAACAGCATGGCCAGTGACTGGGAATGTGGGAACTGCAAGCCATTTGGAGAAATTCAGGTTGAGGGAGACTGCCAATATAGGCTTGTATTTAAAAAACTGCATTATTATTCACATTATTGCTTCTGTCTACCTGTTGTCATTGTTTTAAAGTATGGTACAGTTTTGTTGCTGAGGGAATTTTAGAACAGGCCTTATATTTGAACTGAGCAAAAATCGGCAGCCTTGGCTGCACACTCGCTCCTGGCTGGTTTGAAATGTGGACCAAGGGTTTTGAATTTGATCTTCCCTTAAATGGTCAAGAACAGATTTTAGCTGTGTTTTCAGTACACACCTTCATCCGGCATGAGCCAAGATAGGCAGCCAAAGAAAGTAAATGGAGAACTCTGCTGCTCATGCAGAGAGGCAAGAAGGTGAAAGAGCCCTTTTGTGGGAATGTCTGTTCATGCAGATATAAACAGTTCAAGTGCATTATTGGGGACAGGAAATGCTTTGGGGGTTGATGTTGGAAATAAAGTCTCAGGGGCTAGCTTGAGCCTGTGTTCCCCCCTCCCCACCACTCTACTTGTATAACTGTAAAACAAGTTTCCAAAGATTTCTGTTTTCAAAAAGTTATTAGAGCTGTCTCGAATGCTTTGTATATCTTCTAATGTGTTTCTTTGTCTCTGAAATATTTTAAAGTATACTAAACTATATCAGTGTTACTATTGATGCTGATACAGTATAGTGCTGTAGATATCTTCCCAGGGAACTGATGCATGTAGAGTTTGAATCATAGTACTGTATTCAATTTGTGTGCTTTGAAAAAGGGAGAGATGTGTAGCAGTTTGAAGTACTGTTCTTGGTAGCTGACTCATATAGCTTAATCATATTGCTTTTATTATTTGGTCACAAATAATGGCCCTAATGCTTGTTGGCTTTAAAACACCTATGAGAAGCACTGCTTTTTCTTTCCTGCTCACACACTCTCTTCCTCTTGCAAAATATAAGACAAGGCCAAAGCTTAAATTAAAATCCTCAGGTTCTTATCTCCTTCCCACAGGAAAGCAAATCTGTGTTGAAAACCGTAAAATTAAGAGGAGAGCAAGGATGGCATAATTTAGCAAAAATTCATGCAGAAGATTCTGAGCTATATGACTGGAGGGATAGGTCAGACATTAAGATGATACCACTTGCTAATGCAGGTTCCTTAAGGTGGTGCTCTGAAAACAAGAGGAAGTAGGCAGAGGAGGAAAGTAGGCAGGAAATATGACACTGGCTTTGTTTTTATCCATTCTAACTTAAAAAGGCTTTTTATACACAGCTGTTTTTCTTGTGTTGCATTTTAAATATGGCCTAACATTTTAAAAAAAAAACAACTCAGACTGGCTTTCAAATAAAACTTGATCAGTGAACAAATCCATTCCTCTTTAATTCCCAGTATTTTAGATATTTGAAATGCTCTAGGAATGATACCTGAATTTTGGTCTGAATACCCATCATAGACACATTCACAATGATTTTATATTTGTGCCCATAGTGTTTGCTGAATGGATTTCCAGTCCGAGTCTGGCTTTTTCCTCCTCTTGATAGCTCCTCTACAGAAAAAGAAATTTAAAATGCTAATGATACTGTAATTATGTAAATGAGACTCTAATATTTTTCATGTTTTATATAGACTTAGATTTTGGGCAGAGGGAGAGAATTATTCTGGTAACTCGATCATTTCTTCAGTTTGAGGAGATTGTAGCAATAGAATGACTATATATCTTAAATTGTATTCAGAGCCTACTGAACATAGTTATGCAGCATGAGCTCTGTTTTAGCATAAATCTCAGGATTATTTGGATAGGGGTAGCTATGATACCTAAACATTTTAACATACTGTATTTCTATTTATGGTGGTATTTTTGTATATTAAATTGATTTTTTTCTTCTTGCGGCAGAGTTTAAGCACGACTTTCAGTGAATGGTCCAGTAATAACAGCACAATAACTTCTGGGGTGAATGGAAAAGAGTGAGGAAACCTGAAAGAAAAACATTAAAATAGTACTGGGAATCTTCAGAATAGAATAGTGGGAAGTGTACACAATTTATTTCTTGTGGCTTCATAAAATATTACTTGAAAGTCAGCACTCTGGGACAAATTGCATTGAAAAAGAGCTTCCGTGGGAGTAGGACTGTGAGCAAAAATATAAGTTTGAGATGCAAAGACAGTGTCTTGTCAGCACCATAACTCTTGCTCATATATTGTGTTTTATAGCATATATTATATCTATGGTCTTGATAGCTTGAAAAACTTGTAAACTGGTTAGCAGTAAGATATTTTGTCCTAGTCAGTAAGATATTTTGACATCCTGTTATTCAGATAATAGAAATTATTAGAAAATACGCTGATGGACATTAGCATCACATACTTGTGCAGCATCCATATGTATGGTTCCATTGAGATTTAAGTATTTTCTTCATTAATGTTGAAATTATTATAAGCAAGCTAGAATTAAGGGAGTGGGTTCCCTGGTAATATACCTTTTAGATCCCCTGACCACATCTTTGGCTTATTATATACTTTTCCCATTGCCATCCATGTCTGTTTATTCATAATGAGGCAGATAGATACACTGTCAAATCTTACCTTTAGATTTCAGTGGACATTGCGTCCACCCTGCTGTTTATGGAGATTAGGTTTATCAATTTACTTAGACTACACCTGGCAGAGTCTCCCAACCCATGTAGATGTTGGCTGTGCTATCTAGAAGATTTGAAGAGTTGTGGCCTTTTTTTAAAGTCACTTTTTCAAGCTCTCCACTTGAAATGGGAAACATTTTTCTTCTTTTTCTGATGGCTGAAGTCTTCGGAGAGTTGCAGTCCAAAATGAGACATTCTGGACATGGTCATGAGACCACTATTCTTCAAGGTGTACTGAGCAACTCTGCTGAATGACTGGCCATTTTTTAATACCTGGTGGATGCTTGGTATCCATACCACCTTCACCAGTCCCATGTAGGTAACAAAAGCATGGTGTATGTCAGGTCCCTAGTTGGCAATTCTAAGTAGGTGGTGACTTCCTTGCTATGTAGATTTGTGGAAAACGATAATTAAAAACAAAATGCTTGGAGCAGAAGAGTAGTGCAGTCTTCAATGTTTGAGAGAAAGAGAGAGAGAGTCTCTGTGTGTCTCTCTGTGTGTGTGTGTGTGTGTGTGTGTGTGTGTGTGTGTGTGTGTGTGAGAGAGAGAGAGAGAGAGAGAGAGAGAGATTAAGACTGAGAAAAAGAAAGAGAGAGTAACTGTTCTAATGGAAATATTACTGGTCAGTTTAATGCAGCACTTCACTCTGCATTAAAAACATGTCAATCTTACTTCAAAGACAAATCAATTGGCTACCCATGCTTTTTGTTTTTTTTCTGTTTAGTCAAACAAAGTACCGGTGGTGCAGCCTTCCCATGCAGTTCACCCTCTCACTCCACTTATCACCTACAGTGACGAGCACTTCTCTCCAGGGACACATCCTTCGCACCTTCCTTCAGATGTCAACTCAAAACAAGGTGAGAGACCTTCATTTATAGTACGTACTGATTGAAAAACCTGTTCATTGAGTAACCATCTGTGTTTTGCTTTGAACCCTGCTTTGAAAAGAAAAAACAGTTCTGCTGTAATAACCCTCTTAATCAAGAAGCCAAATGCCTGGTGTACCCTTTTTTGCTTTCCTTATGTATTTTTTTTATCTTGATGGATTTAACTTACAAAACCGGTATTAAAGTCCCTGGCTCCCCCTGTTGTATTAAAAATGCAGTGCAGCTGTTTTAAAGTACTGTATCAGTGTGAGACATGTTTTGTTTTCCCACTGGCAATTTAGGTTGAAAGAATTGAATAGTGGTCCTATCCCTACTTTGTTTTCAGTTACCAACCATGCTATGTGCTAATACTTTCAGTAAGGTCCATTTAAAGGAAATCAAGACTTTAGGTTTTCACTTCAAGACAGGCTTCTAGCTGTATTTAAATAATCAGTAGCAACCTCCTGATGAGGTGAGTTTTTTTTTACTTACGTTTTAGTTTGCTAATTTTAATTTTAAATATTATCACATAATTGAACTCCTTGCATAAAATCCTCATAAAGTTATTGTAGCCACCAAGCTGGCTGGATAGCTCAGGGAGTCAGCCAGAGGTTGGGAGCTCAATTTCCCAATGCATCCCAAGAGAAGAGCCAGCTTGTGTAGCCTTGAGCAAGATGCACAGCCCCAGAATGCCTTAAGAAGAAAATAACGGTAAGCCACTGTTGAGTACTCTTTACCTAGAAAATCCTACCATAAGTCAGAATTGACTTGTATAATAAGATAGTTATTATGATAGCGACTTCAAGCGGAGGTTGTAAAAATAATTAGGCTTTTGTGTTGCGCTGAAATGAGATATCTTTACAGATACCTTCCTCTGCAGAAAGCATGAAAATAGCATATTAATGGCTATTAATATTAATGTTCATTCACCATCCTGCACACTGAAATACATGTAGCAACAATGAAAGTCTAATACGTTGACCAGCAGTGATGTTCTTCTCTCTCTTTTTAACTTGTTCACTTATTGTCAATAATAACTGCTTCAGATAGTAAACATTTGTATCTGCACATAGAACCTTATGGTATTTGTGTTTCAGCATTATATGGGGTTTTAAAAATTCTTAATCCTTCATTTTTGTATCACCATGTTTGACTAATAGTTGGCTAGATAGGTCAGTGTTTTAGCTATCTTGCTGAGGTTGGGGGTTCGATTCACCACTGTGCCTCCTCTGAAAAGAGCCAGCTTGTGTAGTTGTGGGCAAGTTGCACAGTCCTAGGACACCCCCAGGAGAAGGAAACTGTAAACCACTTCTATGTATTATCTATCTAGAAAAACCTGGAAAGGGACACCTGGAAAGGGACACCATAAGTGATGGCACACAATTATTATTATTAGTATTATATCTGACTGAGAGGTTGTACCACTTCTAAAAAATTTAGTGGTGGTAATAAAAGTTAACCAACTTTTTGTCAAAATGTATATTTTTACCAAGCCCTAATGTAAAACTTTCATTTTGTGCAATGGTTTCTACATGTTTACAACCTTCTAACCATCATGCAGACCATCTGGATTTCAGTGTTGCTCATTATTTCATAGCATATATTTTTTTCTTATTATATTGAATAACAGAGGTAATAATGTGATAGGGAAAGGGGCAAAACTCTGTGAACTTGGCTCTGTAGTTCAATCTTAGTTGCTCGTTTAATTGTAATTCATTCCGTGCAACTCTCTGAAGTTGCTATTTAAATCAGTTTCTGAAAACTGTAATCAGATTTTACTTACGTTCCTTCTTCCTAAGGGAAGAAATGAAACAACTTGCCTCTGAAAGTTCTGTTGGGTTAACCAAGGACTTCAGCGAGTGAACAAAAATGAATCTAATGGGTCATGTAAGGAGGGGGCAGTCTGTGGCTCTAGAATGTGACTTTTGGTCTAATTTCAAAAGCCACTTTAGGGGTACATTCATACCTCTGGTGAGAATTATGTGTCATTTTCTCATCAAAGGAGGAGAAGAGATGAGAGAAAGAGAGCAGGAAAGAGGGAAAGGGGTGGTTCTTGCCCTACCCACTACTGGTTTCAGTTCCATTTACCGTGTGGACTGATGGCATATCACTCTGAGCACTAAAAATATTTCTTATCCTGTTTTCTATGTACAGGATCCCATTAGTATAAACTTTCCTTTAAAGCAGTGATTCCCAACTTTGAGTCACCAGATGTTCTTGGACTAAAACTGCCAGAAACATTCACTGTCAGCTGTACTGGCCAGGGTTTCTGGGAATTGCAGTCCAATAATATCTGGGGACCCAAGGTTGGGAACCACAGCTTTAAAAGAGAGTCATCCTAAATCTTTATGGTAAAAACTGTTTGTGTAATACCCAATTAAAATTCTGTAATAAATTGTATGTGGTATGGAACAGTTGGAAGGCAAACAACTGGTATACTGATGGTTGTTGTAGGTTTTTCGGGAGGTTTGGCTGTGTTCCCAAGGTTTTTCTTCCTAACGTTTTGCCAGTTTCTGTGTCTGGCCAAACAGTCCCCAAAAAAACTACAACAACCATCGGATCCCAGCCGTAAAAGCCTTCCAGAATACATTAAACTGATATACTGGCTGAAATCCTATTGCTTAGTATACTAAGTTGCAAGTAGAATTGGCTCAGTAAATCAATGGATCTTACAGAGGATTTGACTCACCAAATCCCCACTGCTTCACTGGGCCTCCTCTCGTTGCAGTTTACTGTACGAAGCAGTAGACTTTCAGCCACTGATTGTTTGCATTGGTGGCTCCATTGAAATCAATGAAACTTGGAGAGGAGTTGCAGCTTATTTCATTCAACAACAGGGTTTCAGCCTATGTTTTCTTACTTGGGCAGTGTTCCAGCAAATTTGGGGTCAATATAGGCTGCACAAATGAAGAGAAGCTGCCTGCTACCTGCTATCCTGAAGGCTGACCATCACATTTCTAAGCAGTAGTAGATTTGTTGGCAGCTCAGGAGTACTGTTATCTACCATGAGCCAGCAAATAACATGTGATCAGTTAAACACCTGATCCTTTATGTCAGAGGTTTGATTTAATAGCACATGCCATAATTAAAGGCCAAAAAAAATGTTTTGTGATTTGGAGCTTTTTAAAAAAAGAGCAGTTTTGGTAATCACCATTTTATGGATTTTTTTCACCGAACAAGTTTAACATTTATCCTTTCTGTTCCTGATTATAATATGGTAGTGATGCTTACAAATTCCATTTGAGTACTGTAACTGTTAGCTGTGAAGGAGCATAGATGTCTTCTTATGGAATCTTAAATGATGGAATAACAGTACTAGCATCAGAAACTGGAAATATTTCTTTTTTGGACTAAAGCAAAGGCAAAAAAAGGTGTGCTGCTTATAAATCAATCCTCCCGCAGCTCTTAAAGCACTCTCTGAATGGTTTACTATTTAATTATGCAGTCTGCTCATTGCTGCCTCCCCCCCCCCGCAAGCTGAGTATTCATCTCTCAAAATGTTTAGGTCCAAAATACCAAACTTTTCCCATCCCTGATTACAATCAATCAGTCTGTCTGTCATTCAGTCAGTTAGTCAATTAATGAAGATTGAGTAGATCTGGTATAGAGGGGAGGGGTATAAATCAAAGTAAAATAAAGTAAAGTAAAGAAGATGATAGGAGTAGCTTTCCTTCCACAAAAGAGGGAAGAAAATAGAAATATCCAAATGAGGTGTGTATTTCTTGCTTTTTTCAAGATTAAACCCTGTATTTCAGATACATTCTTGGTTGTGCAGCTGTTAGGATGGGGGGGGGCAAAGTAGAACAAGGCCAGATTCTGAAAAACAAGATGGAGGCCTGCTTGCCATTTGGGTGCCAGCAGGCTCCTAACTAGCTGAATGGTTCATCTGGTCATACTGCAGTTCTTAAGAAAGGTTGCCATTTAGTATTTCGAGAAGACTTTGTTGCTTGTAACTCCTCTCACCAAGAACAGAGGGCTTTACATGTAAAATGAGACCTGTAATTCTTGCCTCACTTTTTCTCTAATGGACTAAATAAATCAATGGCTTAATGGTCTCTGTGACCATAATTCTGTATGCCTCCTTGGGGCATGAGATTTAGGTAACAGCGTGAAAACCAAAGGGCTCATCTGGGACTAGGATTAGCTTTAATCCTTGAGGTGGTTTTTGCAGTTTGTAGCATTTTGATGTTCTTGGGAATGACGAGTTGATGGATCATTTCCAGTGGGACTTCCTAACCGCACTACGAAAATACTAACCAGTACAAAAGCCTGACCTTGGCGCCCACAAGAGTCAACTTGATGAGGAGCTTAGCTGAAGCTGGAGTGACAATCAGAAGCCAAATGAATCATATCAAGTGTGACCATTGCAGGCCTGAAAATGATTCTTAATTAACCACCGATCCTCTGTGGTAGCAAGTTTCCAAAATCTGTGAATCATGAGGGAACCACAGAAAATGTACAAGCAGCAATTTACCTAATCTAATAAGTCTGGCCTGTGCTGCATTTTTTTGGAACGGCTGCTTTCTCCTTCTGTAGCCCCTCCTTATATGTTTCATTTCTGAATAGTTCTCAAGTCTTACTTGCAATGGCACTTTAAGTGGGGGTGGGGAGTTAAGCTTCCTGCAATACAGTACTACTATTCTATCACTTATGGGCTGTATAACTTCTTCCTCTTTTTCCCCTTTTTACATCAGAGTGAAAATCAGCCATGAAATTTAGAATCCACAAGTCTTGTGGCATATGCTTTTTTTTGGTTGAGAGCCTATTCCACCAGATTCATGAAGCAGTCACCAGAGTGGGTAGGTATTTAGATATATATAAAAATCCTAGTACAGAGAGAAGGAAATTGATGTGTATTCTCAAGACCAAAGCATCAAGCAGTGTAAAGCAGGGTGGTTGGTATGTCACAGAACGATGCAGACCACAAATAAATACAGAATCCAACCTAATAAGTCATTTTATGACAGAACTGGACTCTTGTATGAAGGCCT